TTTATTCAGTTCAATGCCTTTGAAAATGTATTGTCATCCAGGTCTATCCTTATTTTTGTACATGATAAATGTCTTGTTTCTAAATAAATTAAATTAATTGAATTATAGGCTCCAGTCTGTTTTTAAGAATTGTTTAGTATATTATATAACCTGAGTTAAGAATGGTGATATCTGTGCAATTCTTACATTCATTTCTACTTTCTTTTAATGTTTACAAGAAGCCATAAAATTACATTTCGAGCTCCAAATAGAACATGATGGAAAGCTAATATTCCAAAGATATGTGTTTAGTGTAACAGAATTGCTAGCTGGGCTTTGATTTGAAATATTACAAGTTTCAGCTCTAGATTTAAGTCAAGGAAGTCTACTGAAGGGTCTACAGCCCTTCCTAATTTGAGGAAGTGCTTCTCTGTGTATCTTTTATTGTGGATGTTGATTAAAACTGATTTATGAAAGTCCTGTTCTTAAGAAGGTAATGGAGTTGTTTGTTGGTTGAAGGAAAACAATGCAACTTGATACATGGATTTTTAAAGTTGTTGATCTGGTTCATAAAATTGTAAGAATGTTGAAATAAGTGTTATGAAATACACTCAAAGTGTAAATACAAGCCAGTTTTCTATCGTTTTCCCCCTGTGAATAACTCACTGCTACAAATCTGTTTTTACACATTACTGTTGTTCTAGTTTGTAGGTCAGAAGAATTTTAGTATATAAAAAGAGAACTGTATGAGTACCATATATAAGTCCAAATTATATGTAATATGTAATCTATAATGTGTGTTCAATTCATACACACTGAAATGTTTTAAAGCATACAGAACTTTGTGTACAATCATCAAGAAGTTTATGTTAAAAATACTATATTATTGCTTATTTTGAAAGCTGTGTGGTTTTAGTGTGCATTTGGATAAAAAAATATTCTGTTTGTAAAGAGAATATTAATTTAACATCCTTGTAGTATAATATTAATATAAATATATAAATATGTGTAATTTGGATGCACAACTAAAAGACAATGAAAATGTTATAAATACATATTTTCAGTTTGCATATAATTGTTATGCTATTTAACCCTATGTTCATTGTAAGTTTTTAATTTGAATATTTACTTCCAGGTTAATAATAAAAAAAATTCAGTGCTTGTTAATAATTTGAAATTTGAATTATGAATAAAACATTGTTACATGTGCCACTAAAAGTACCATGGATGTTAGGAAACGAATAACCTTTTGTTCTGTTGTGTAAATAGTGGTATGGTATAATTATTTTAAGAATAGTTTCCATGATTTAATCACCATGATAATTAAACTGAAAAATTTATGATTTTAAAATTATTTACACATATGAAATGCAAGCTGATTTAAATTCTCAGGAAGCATGAATGTAATAAGTTTAGTGTGTATACATTTAATATGTTGGTGCATGAATTGGTGGTTATACAAATTATGTAGAAAATGCTTTGTATCATTTGAATTCTTCTTTCTGTTACTTCTAATTTCAAACCTGGCCCTGAAAAGAAAGAAGATTGGATAAAGTTTACCTCATAGACTCAGATATAGTTCATGTTAAACACTGATGCAGTAATGCTTACTATATTAAAATTATATGCAGCAACTCCTCTCTATAACACAGTCCTCCATGTAACAGAGATTCCACAAGTTCGTTTACAATCTAAGTTACAATATTCATTCAGAGAAATTCCTTGACATACTTCAAGCTTTAAACATTTTTCACATCATACTGACATACCATAATGAGCCAGCATAGCTCTGGTGGCACTGGTGGTGCAACACAGTTCTGAACATGGTCATTTTTGTTCCTTCCCGCCCCTCAAACTGGGGTAGCTCAGTCAGTATAGTGACTGGCTATGGACTGGACAACCAGGGTTTGATTCCCAATGGGGCAGAGGATATTTCCTCTAACCTCTGCATCCAGACTGGCTCTGGAGCCCACCCAGCCTCCTATCCAATTGGTACTGGGGTCCTTTCCTAAGGGTAAAACGTGGCAGAGGTCAAGAATGAGTAGGAGCTATACCACCTTTCCACCCAAGCACGTACATGGCATATACTGGGACAGCTTTACTTTACTTAACTGACATACCACAAACATACAATACACATTTTACCTCATTGGAGTCTAACATACACTCTACTTGTTGCAGTCATAATGTCCATTGAGGTATATCATGACCTGGGGTAATGTTTTCATTAAACCTTCCCTTATGATACCTGATATGATTATGCTGTTTAAATGGATACTCAGCCCTAAGTAGCAGGTTATTTAAAGGAAACCCCAGTGCATCAATCATTTTGATCTCTGTATGGCATTGTTTCCCAAAAGATGGCGAAAAATTCAAAGTATGGACAATGTGCCTCAAACAAAGAAGATAACAAGGCATAATGACCATGACGCTCAGTTGGTCATGAGTTTCCATACATTAAAATAGGGAAACTTGGAAAAATTGGATGAAAAACACCATTTTATAGATATATGACCTGTAGTTGTGAAAATCCCAGGTTAAAACATTTACTAGGTAGTAGTATCTGATGTATCTGCAAATAATTTACTTCTCACATACTTTAATACTTTCTTTTTCATAAGCCGATGTTATGAATATGTGTAACTTGACTCAGTTCTCAGGGCATGTAGCTTAGGCACAGGGGCAACTTTGTATTTTCCATTATTATTAATACAGTCCTATTTTTCAAAAAATATTGGGTTTAAATCAGAAAGTGTATTCCATACTGGAAAGCACGTCATATTCTCACGTGACACTTTTTCAATAAGTATATTCTATGTAAGGCTGGTGGTCATGATGCTTCTGGTGATGGGGGAGTGGAAGTGAATCCAAGACCACCAGCTGATCAACTGGAGATTGACTAAATATTACAGAATGTCAAGAGGCTAGGGCGATCAGGACGATGCTGAAGGCTCAGTCACTGGATATAGCTGACACCATGAAGGGGATTGATGCTTTGGGGCCCAAGTTTGTCCTGAATGAAACTATTAATTCTGTGATCAATAATTATAATCAGATTAAGATAGTGATAAGAAGATGAGAGGAAAGGCTAGACGTGGTGTACCGTAAAGTACGGTTTTTGGAAGTCAAATATAAGAAAAAGAACATTATAATTTTTCCTTATTGTATAATATTTTAATGGTTTATTTTGCTTATACTCTGGTATGTTTATTGTGTTGCTTCTGAGGGTATTCCAGATCAACTTCTAGTATGAGCCCTATTTTAGAATCATCAGAAATTTTTGTAACATTGATGTTTAAATCTTGAACCCATTTAAAATTACCATATTGAAGGCATTGATTGGCTCATTGCCCAAATATATGTAGAAGTTAGCATCTAGGTACATTAATAAATAACTTGTTTCCTCTTTAGGCTTGTAATTACTTATATGCTTGTTATTGACTTTGGAATATCTCTTACAGCATTGTGATATTCTACCTCTAATCCCCTTTTCAAGTAAGAGAATCAGATCATAATCAGATAGCAGTTCCAGGTATTTTTCATTTTTAGCATAGCTTCCAAAGCCAGCCCAGTTGATGTATAATACCAAGCTGCGTTCAATTGGTAAACATCCATACAAGTTTTCCGAAATGCTTCGAATATTTGGCTAATAGGAGTACATTAATCTTAAGACATAAGTTTTGGTATTCGCCTATATATTTAATATTGAACGCTTGCCAAACATTGTGAGCATGGTCATAGTCTTCATTCATTATTCCGCAATTGTTTAGTTGACTGTAGAAAGCTTGTTTATGTGGAAGCTTAATCTCAGGAAACCTATTCCAACAATCCATGTAGTCACAGGGATAAACGCCTTTCCGAATCAGCAGATCCATCTTGTCATATTTTGTAAACTCTTTTGCATTTAACAATTGATGCTTCTTTATGTTTCTAACCAGCGAATCTAAACTGAAGGCAATGACCCGAAACAAACTAGTAAACCTAAGATGCATTTTTTAAACCTTTTTCCCGAAATAAATGTACTTTCCTTCATTGTTGGAAATACGAGAGATATTTTTCTCATTGTAACCAAGTTCCTTTATAAATAGATGTGAATCGTAACTGGTTAGATGAAGCTGACTGGAAGAAAGGAAGGATTCCTTAATTGTAAATTGCAATTATTACATAATGGATCCACATATTTTTCAGTCAAATGACCATGGTGTCAGACTCCTCCTCCTCTTCTTGCTTTCTACAACCCTGTGTGGGTCTTGGCTGACTCTTTTCGAAGGTTTCTTAGTCTTATAAGTGTGCATTTTTTGAGTAGCCTGCCTGCCTGGTGTCGGGCTTTATTACCATTAAAAACCATCCACAAACTTTGCACTCTACATCCTCTTTTTCTCTGCTTTGGTGAGGGGAAACATTTCTCTCTGTCTTATTCAATTCTATCTCTAGAACCTTCCCTCTAAACGTTTATATAAATACTTTTGAAACATCATACCCTCTGTATAAGAATGTCTTTATATCTTCCATGAATATATTTGATAAAGTAACTAAAGCTACTCGGGTCATGCTTTTGATATTTATGTACATACAGCTCTTTAGGGTCAGGTTGGCATGTGTCCATTTTCTTAGACATTCTGCATATATAACAAAAGTTACTTTCATTGTATGATGGTACTTATTGAATTCAATGCATTTGTGAGAAGAATTAAACTTTGGCAGACTAGTGAAAAACTAGGACAAAGGGGATTCAGAAATTAAGGGTAATTTGCATGTAGAAGGCTGGTATGAAGGTGGCTGTCTTCTCAGCTGCACCCTCACCCTGATGATGGAGGTAGCAAGTACCACTGAAACGTTGGTAAGTTTTTTCCAGACTACAATACTAAAATCCAGAGGACAGCCATATTCTATTCGCCGACTTGAGATGTTCAAATTCCCACATAAAATTCTCGAATTATTGTCAGTCTGCGCTCTAGCGGATATCACTCTTACTACATGCTGAGACAAGTCAGTCAGTAGGTTTTGGTATCACTGATAATTCCAATTTATCTGTGGTAGAAAAGTGTGGGGTAGGTCGTGGTGTACTGATTTTTCTGCGTTAACCTGAGACACATTTTTATTATTTGTTTGCAATACGAGTAGAGGAAGGAGTGTAATTGAATCCGATGTTAGGAAGTGTTTAACGTTTATTCCTTTTACGAAAATGAAGTGTGGTGTTTGTGAATCTGGGCAATCAAAATATAAGTGCCCCAGATGCTTTCTTTCATAGTAAGTTGAGATGTGTTGTTGCTGTGTTAGTTATAACGCACCAACTTTACGTGAGTGCTTTCTTGTTGCGGGCAAGAAATGGAGAATTTGAAACACGGGAAGGAGAGAGTACGTAACTAAAATTCAACGCCATATTTAAATTTCAGTTGTTCGTTGTACTGCTGGAAAGAACACCGGAAGATAAAATGTGAACCTGTACCACCACCAAAAACCGTGGAAGAGGAAGGCACCTTAAAACATTCTCAGGAATATAAATATCAGACAGAAGATACTGTTCCTCTAGACAGGCTGAAGTTGTTAGGTACTAAAATTCCATACACAATAATTACTGATAAATGGTAATGACCACATGTACACTGATTGAATGTGGCTCTTGAAACAAGTTTGACCTGCCCTTTGATGGGATGTAGCCCATTATTGATTGCAATACAGATGCATTATCAGAGGGATTTTACAGCATATATATAAATCCATTAATTCAGGTTTTATTTATGGTTGTTGGCTCTAATATGTTATTTTATCATACCTAATCCATTTAACCTGTTGCAGAATTCAGGTATTGTTTATGTTATGTAGCCATAACTAATCATCCGGTCATCTTCCTGGAAAAGAATTTAGACATATTGCTACATTAAAATTCTCTTGGGTCATCAGTGATGTAAAAGTTGCCATGACTGATTGCCTAGAACAATTTATTCACCATGAAAACTTAAAATATTACTTAATGATATGTGACTTCCCATCCCTTCCTTTTCACAACCTTCCTTTTACTGTCCAAAGTCCTCTTTGATCCTCCTTTTTCTGTTCAAGCATTAACTGTTTGCACTCAAATGTGAAACCACACGAAGCCTTCATCAGACCCACTCTAAAATATATTTGACACAATGAAGATGCTGTAAAATTATATATGAAGTAATATTGCAGGTAACCTATGAACTTAATCTCACAAAACTTCTCACATGTCATCAAGTTATACATAAGTTACATAGGAGCTAAAATACAGCTAAACTAAGAATTGTACTGAACATGAATTGTCTTTCATACTGACTAAAATATATGTAGCCCAAGAAATATAACTTAACAGAAATATTCATAAAATATATTAAAGACAAATATGCCTAAAGAATCAATTGAGTCTTCCAATTCATAATTTGACACCAGTACCTCTGATGGAATGTTTCCAGACTTTGTTGCTGGCTATCTTTGACTTCTTACTCACCACAGCACTGAAATACAAATTATTTGTTTTCCAGAAAGCAGTACAGTTATGCAGCAGATTTTTAAGAACCCACACCTTCAAGAGCTTCTGGTGTCTATAGACAGTTCTCCCAACCCTGAATATGCAATGCAGCTAGCTATGCAGGAGCCACTTTTTATTGAGTTTGCTGATGAATGCCTTAGAGTTATTGAACCTACTGAGGATGCACCTAAATAATTACATTCTTGTTTCTTGAAGCAAATATTACAATAATTTTCCTGATGTAAGATACAACTTAAGACTGTCACAATTGAGGTTCTTTAGCTGTCACTGTTAACAAACTACTTGATCTGCCTAATGTATATGTTACCATAAAAGCCTGAATGTTGGTGAAACCTAGGATTTACCAGACAAACCGTGGTTTTACCATTCACTGTTGGTGAAACCCCATATTCCACGAGAAGACAGTAAAAGTAAAGAGAAGTGTATAAATGTAGTAACTCACTCTTATAATCGATGCTTTTTTCTATTTTTATTCCATAAATTACAATTTTAGAAACATACATTCCTTACCTAAGTTGTATTTTAAAAAACGTTTAACAGAAGTCAAAATAATAGATAAAAGCATTGCAAGAAATGTAAAAATTGTGAAATCCCCATATGCACCTCACTGTGGTAGAGGATGGGCGACATCAATAGGCGCTCTTGTCCTGGGGGCAAGAAATTGTCCCCGAAGGCGGATGAACTACCTAGTGTAGTCAGGCAAGGGGAAACCACCTGATTATATTCCCAAGAGAGTCCTTCATGGATGGACGAATCAAACGCCAACCCATGAAGCGCCACCATGCCTTTTTAAGGGTCAAGGACAGAGGAGGAGGAACCTAACCTAACCTTTTACTATTACCTGCTTATGGTGAATCCTAACATTTACCAAGACCCATTGGTCATCATTATCATCTTCATCATATTCATCAAGTATTAGGCCAAGTGGCCTGTTACGGTTTCATTCCATATTTTTAACGGTCTTCCCAGGCTTCTCTTTCCATTCAGTCTGTAGTTCAAAAGTTGGTTTGGGATTCTATTAGAGTCCATTCTTTCAATGTGATCATTCCAATTGGCATGATAATTCTGAATAAATTTAGAGACTGGTTCGACTTTCAATTTTTCTAGAATTTCTTAATTTCTTTTGTGGTCCAAAAGTGTAAAGCCAGCAGTTTTCCTCATAAATTTCATCTCTGCTGCTTGCAATCTTTTTTCATCCGCCTTTCTAATTGTCCAGACTTCACTTCCATACAATGGTACCGGTCTTGCTAGAGTCCTGTAAATGTTTAATCTTGTATGTTGCAACAAGGAGGGTTTGAAGACTTGGTTTATGACTGGTTGTTTGTATAAATTTTGAGGGCATATATTTCTCACCTTCATAAGATAGGGTGCAGCCTAAATAATTAATGTGTTGACTTGTCCTAGAGTTTTATTATTTATACAGATTTTGCCTGATATTGCCTGAAAATGCCATAATTTTAGTTTTTTCAATAGATATTGACATCAAAATCTGAGGCAGTCTTTTGTAGATTGTATATTGCCCGCTGTAGTTCATCTTCTGATTTGGCAATAAGTACTTGGTCATCCGCGAATAGTAGGATATCTAAGATCACGTTTCTTTTTATTGGTATTCCTCCATGGTTTCCCCCTTTCCAGCGTTTGATAATTGCATCCACATAGATTATAAATAAAAGAGGGGAGAGGCCACAGCCTTGTCTTACTCCTTTGTTAACTGATTTCCATTCAGATGGATTAGAGTCTGTTTTTACTGAAATTTTGTTGTTACTATATATATAGTGTGGATTATTTTATCAGGTATGTTATCAGCGGCTAGAATGTCCAGAAGAATGTTCCTATTAACATTGTCGAAAGCTTTTTCAAAATCAATAAAAGCTAAATGGGTTTTGATATTAAGTTCCCTGTGTTTTTCTGTTAGTATTTTTAAAGGGAAATATCTATCACAACATGAGCGTCCTCTTCGAAATCCGTTCTGTTCTAACTTTTCTTTGTAGTATTCATAAAGTTTGTTCTTTATGATATTGGCATATATCTTATAACCTGAGTTTAGTAAACTGATCCCTCTGTAATTTTAACAATTTTTAATATCTCCTTTCTTATGAAACAGCACTACTACAGCTTTCTGGTGGGATTCCACCCTGCCAAATTAAGTTTAGAAAATAGAGGAATCAATATTGAAAGTCCTCTCCAGCATATTTGAAAAGCTCCGGGTGATTTGTTATTTTTTGAATGTTTAAGGACATTAATTAGTTCTCCAAATGATATGAAATCTACAAATTCGTTGTTTGAGGATGCCTTAGTCAGTTCGCCAAATTTTGATGACCATAAATTTTTGAAGTAATCAAGCCAGGTCTGTTTTAATGCTATGTATTTTCACATTCTCTCTTATGTCAGTTCTCAACTTTTTAAGTATTTTAAAAGTCTGGGGGTTTGGTTTTGTAACATCTCTTTCTAGTTGTGCGGCAAAATTGTCCCACATTTCTCTGTGCCTTTTTGTGACTTCTCTTTTTGAAATTGCCCGTTTTCGTTTATATTCAATTTCATCTTCTAGACAGCATGTTGACAGATATTTTTTGAATGCCAGTCTTTTTTCATTTATAACTTTTCCTATGTGTTCTTCCCATTTTTGAATACCTTTCCTTCTATGCCATTTGTTTCTTAAACCGATGCTTTCTGTAGCTGCTTGTTTTAGTATATAAGTAAGGTTATCCCATTCTTCCTCAATATCACTACTGATTTTTACTTGTTGAAGCAATGTCAATACTCTGTTCTTGAAAAGCCATCTTATGCTTGTAACTCTCAAAAGATTTATCTTGAATGTTTTATCTAAATTTCTGGTTTGTTGTTTTTGCTTGAACTATCTAGGAGGAATTCTAAGAGGTGATGCTAGTAAATAGTGATCTGTTTCTATCTCTGGGCCTCGGTAAACTCCGACATCTAAAATAAAATCTGAGGCCTTCTGGTTTCATATTATGTGGTCAATGATTGAACGTGAACCTCTGACTGACCAAGTGTATTTATGTGCATCTTTGTGTTGGAAAAATGTGTTCATTGTTTTCAAATCATTATAAAGAGTGAAGTCTCTCAGTTTCACACCATTATTATTGCAAATTGTTTTGCTGAATGTGCCAATATTACTTCTGGATTTGTTGGTACCAATTCTAGCATTAGTACTACCATGTCAGATTTGTTTATTTTATCTATTATTTTTTGTAATAGCTTGTAGAATTGATCATTTTCCTCCTCTTTTCCTTCAACCAGGGCATATATACCCAGGATGGTTAAGTACCCCCTATAAATTTTGAGCCTAACTTCAATTATGTCAATAGTTCTTTGGAGCGATTTGTGAATCATTAGCATTACTCCAGCTTGAGCCCTCTCATTTCTTCCCACTCCATGATAAAAACTGAAGATAGTTGTTTGTTTCTTTAGACCCTCTGTATTTCTTTTTTGTTTCGGAAATATCTGCGACTTTTATATTTTTCTTTGCAAGTAAAACATCTAATTGATCTTTGAAAGCAATGCTGCGTACATTCCATGTGGCAATATTAAGTATTCCTTTCTTTTTCAATTTATTTGTAACCATGTTTAAGCCTAGGTAGTCATCATTAATAGCTGACTGGGTTGTATTTATTTGAAACTTGAAAGCAGTATAATTGTCCTATCCATTTGGTTGCTGGCCAAAGAGCAATTCCAGTGGTAGGAGTGCTACCTCAACCTCTGGACAGGCTTTATTCAGGTGGTATTTCCCCCAGCCCAGATGAAATGGTTATACCGCCATGACTCGGTTGTCAGAGCCTCATTTGTGGTAACAGGGTGCACCGCTAGAAGGTGGGGTTGACAGTAAGGTAGGAGATGCTCTAGGAGACGTGTCCTACCCCTTGCACCTCGACCCATTGGTAATACCCCAAAATGCGTTTCTGACTTTTACTGCCTGCTTATGGTAAATCCTAACATTTACCAACGCCCATTGGTAAGACCCTGAAATAAGACGTGAATAGTTCTTTTTGGGACTTTTACCAACATTGTTTCATAAAACCTAGGTTTGTCTGGTAAATCCTAGGTTTCACCGACATTCAGGCTTTTACAGTAACATACATATTTGATTTTATATGACAAAATCCTTATAGAGATTATTTGTGATTGTTTTATGTAGCTTTTATAAAACCGAAGTTTTTTTCAGTAGAATTGGTGGCTGAGTTAAATTCTACTAATTGTGTGTGACCATTCAGTTCAAAGAAGGCCTGATAACAAGTAGCAGGAGCTCAGTCTGTTCAGAAGCTAGATGACAGATGTGTCGGCAGCCAAACTGCACCATTACAAGTTTGCTCCTGATTTTTGCATTGTGTTGTAATATTCTTTTCTTATGGAGAAGACAGATTTGTGTAGCTAAGCCAAGAATTTGATGTACAGTATTCGTGAATACATTTGCAGATAAATTTTGCATTCACTGGAGATCAGTGTTCCACAGTGCATTTGGCACCACTGTGTGCTGTATGTTCTCTTGTTTTCTCCCTACCTCCTCTACTTCCTTCAAACCCACAGTACATGTGATTCGTGCGTGCATCCACCAATTCTACTGAAGAATATTGTAAACTTTTTGTAAATTTGACATCTGTCGACCGATATTAGCTGTTTTACAAATAAACTGGATAATTTTGATATTTTGTGGCCATTTATGTTAACATTATTCATGTTCCTCTGATTATCTTAATTCTGACACTATCTGTGTTTACCTGCTGTATAACTGTGAGTGAGTGTGCTTCGCCCGCAGGCTGTCGGCACAATGGATGCTAGCAAAGACTGTTGCTTGGTGTGTAAGAAACCGTTCTACGGAAAACAGAAATTTATTAGATGTGGAACAAGATTTCATCTTTCCTGTCTCAAAATGAGCGACACTGAGTATTCGTTTCTCATGGTGGAAGGGAAATCGACGTACAATTGTGCATCGTGTGTTGTAGTGCTAAAAACGCATCAAGAAGAAGCTTGAGATCTGCCTCAACTTCGGAGCTTCCAGTGAAGGAAATTTCTCCTGATGGGGAGCCTATTCTTTCAGACCCCGAGTCATTCGGACGCCAGATCGAGATGGTACATCTCAATGGAGCTAGCACACATAAGATCATTGATAATCTTGTTCAGATGGTTTTTAAACTTTCTGAAGATGTACAGCTACTTCGGAAGGATAACGAATATTGGAAAAACCACTTGAGCAAACTAGCTTCCAGCGCACCTACGCCGGCAGCACCTGCAACGAAATCTTCCATCCAGGGGACAACCCCCTTAGTTCACAATGATCCTGCACACAAAGCCAAGGACGCGGTTCCTTGTTCTGCCTCTACTGTCGCTGACGCGGGATCCAAATCCTACAAGGACGTCCTGTCTGCTGGATTAAAACCTAAAGTCTCCAGTGTGGACACAGAAGGTTTTACAACAGTAAGTCATAAAAAGAAGCCATCTTCTGGGACGCCTTCGGCCAACACAATTAGACAACGCAGACAGCCGTTAGGGGTGAGAAACTCTGCTTCTGTACCCATTGTATCTAAAAGTGAAAGGTCTAAGGCCCTTTTTGTTTCACGATTTAGCCCCGAGGTCACGGCTGCTGACGTAGATAAGCCTTTAAAAGAGCAGTTAAGCCTCAAAAGGTTAGTCTGCAATAGGCTTAAAACTAAATTTAATTCTTATGCATCATTTCACATTTCGTTCGATGAAGAGGATTTTCCCCTTATAAATAACACCGGTGTATTGCCAAATGGGTGCCTGGTTGCTCCCTTTGACCCCTGATCTGGTGTACTCCCCTGGTGCACCTCTCATTTCGGTACCAACTACGGCTGACTCTGATACTGCAATGTGCCCTACAACGAAGCCGACCAGCACTTGTGAGGAGCTTGGGGGAAGCATCAATACCTCTTAATTATGTCAGGTAACTGTTGTGCCACCATTTCGGATCGTCTCACCACGTCTGGTTCTAAGCGTTTGGATTCTATTGATATCTATTATCAAAATGATAAGAGGTTTGCGTACTAAATGTACCAACTTTTATGATAATGTTTGTATTAATGATTTTAAAATTATATATATTGCCGAGACGTGCCTTAATGATTCGTTCTGTAATCGCAATCTGTTTCCTGATGACTATCTCGTTTTCCGCGCTGACAGAGGTGGTGGTGTTCTGACGGCAGTTCACCAATCTCTGGCTGGTTGTAAACGTAGGTATGATCTTGAATTTATCAGCGAATGTGTTTGGGTTGAAGTTCCTCTTCGTGATGGTTTCAACTTACTCGTTGGAAACCACTACTTTTCGCCTAACACCGATGTTAAAGTTATTGAAAATTATTTTAATTCTCTGGAAAAGAATTTAAACCCTCAAAATTTTCGGGTAGTTCTCTTAGGTGATTTTAATATTCCTGGCTTTGATTGGGCACATGGCTTCCCTCAAGCTAACTCATGTGATTTCTAATCACGATTTGGTTAAATCTGATGTTTTTCATCCTTCCCTGGTTGTTGATCTTAGAAATATATCTCTGTCTACCAATTCACAGCCCTCTCGATGTTCCCGTAATTACGCGCTTGTTGACTACCTACTGCTTTACAGGTATTTATCCTCTTACGATTGGTCCTGCGTTTACAATCTGTCCTCTGCGGACTCCGCCGCTGATCAGCTCAAGTCGGTGGTTACTGATGCTTTAAATTTAGCTATTCCAAATAAGCATTCAAGTAAGTCTAAATTTCCAATCTGGTTTTCCGGTACCTTAAAACATTACATTAATAAAAAGAATCATTATTTTCGTCGGTTCTAAAAGACCAACTCACATGAACATTACTCATACTTCGCGCACTTTCGTAAATTAGTTAAGGTTGCCATTAAGTCTGATAGGCGACGGTGGTTAAAATCTGTTGATGACAGTCTTAAAACTCGCCCTCGGCATTTTTGGAAATACGTTTCAAATTTCAAAAGAAACGATAACTCCTTTATTCAGCTAAAAATTGGTGATCAGTTTGTCACTGACCCCAAACACATTGCTGATGAATTTGCTACCCATTTTGAATCAATCTTTAACACTTCTTTCCGGTCCGTTAGTCCTACCGATATTGTTACTTCAGATTTCTTGCCCATCGCTCCTATCTCTCCTGCAGATGGAATTCCTTCGTTAGTAATTAAGGGTTGTTCTGGTATTTTTACTCCCTTATTAACCCATATTTTTAATTTAAGCCTAAATAGTGCCACCTTTCCGTCCCTGTGGAAACAAACAGCTGTTGTTCCCGTGTTTAAAAAAGGAAACAGTTCCACTGTAGTAATTATAGACCCATCTCTATTCTTAATAACTTTTCTAAAATATTTGAATTTATTGTTTATGATCATTTGCAAAAAAAATTTAAATACAGATTAAGTCCCACACAGCATCGTTTTCGTAAATTTAATTCCACAACAACCAATTTGGTTACTTACCTTAATTCCGTTTTACCTACAGTGACTACTCAAGGACAAACAGATTCAGTATACTTTGATCTTACTAAAGCTTTTGACTTAGTTCCTCATAATATTCTTCTTGGTAAACTTAGAAACTTTGGACTATCACCCAGTTATGTTGATTGGTTCAATAGTTATCTTTCTGACAGGCAATCCTTTGTTCGTGTCTCTGGAACTCTTTCGTATCCTTACACATTTTTAAACCCTGCCTGAATTGCATTTCTGTACCAGTGCCAAAATGTAATCTACACATTTGCATACAAGGTTTCTAATGCGTGTTTTAAATCAAAGGGTATTTCTGTGGGCTAAGACAAAAATTTTATTGAATAATACAAACACTTATTAACATCATCATCATTAATCATGCCCCAAGTTTTTACTTTCGCTCATATTGAAATTTTATTTCAATATTGGGAATTTTTAGCCAAAATTTCTGCCCATATTCAGTGGTTCTTTCTGGAATTCCATGTTTCCATAGGTAACCCTCCCCATGACTAACTAACTAGATGGCTTAGGGAACTCGAGAGTTCATCACCGAATTAACCAAAGCCCTCCACCGGTCCCTGTCCTGGGCCAACAAAATCCAGTCTCCTTCAACTCCTATCTCCCATAGATCCCGTCTGAGATTATCCTCCCATCTACGTCTAGGTCTCCCCAGCGGTCTCTTCCCTTCAGGCTTCCCAACCAATACCTGGTGCACAACTCTTGTCCCATCCATGCGCGCTACGTGCCCCGCCCATCTCATTCTTCTCGAATTAATCACCTTGACAATACTGGGGGAGGAGTGCACATTTTTAAGTTCGTCGTCTTCTCTCCTAGGCCCAAATATCCTCCTCAACACCCAGTTCTCAAACACCTGCAATCTGTGTTCCTCCCTCAGAGTGACAGACCATGTTTCGCACCTATACAAAACAACAGGCAAGATTATTGTTTTGTATACTTTAATTTTCGGGTTCTTAGAAATCAGACGGGAAGACAAAATATTTTGAACTGAGAAGTAGCAAGCATTTCTGGAATTTAGTCTCCTCCTGATTTCCTCATGAATATAATTTTGATTTGTTTTGTCACATTTTCAGAGTAGTTGTTAGCCACCCTAATATGAGAAATATGTTTTAAAACCTGAGTTATTATAATTAATTTATTGTTAATTGTTTTATTGCACATATATTTTAATACAGACGGTTTAAGGGCTTCGCAATAAAATAGTCGCATTATTAAAGTGGAATTTTCCAGTAAGAGCATTCATGCATGTTTGTATTTCTTATGTTTATCTTCTTCCTTGAATAACAGTTCAGATGTTTGTTATCTTGCAAGTTTTATAGCGGTCCAGTGTATTATCCGAGGACCATATCAATCAAAGAAAATTTACAAGTGCCGTATTGTTTTAGGCAACTGCGATTAGACAGTCCTAGTCGGTGAGCCGCGTCGTAAAAGTGGTGTTCTATTGGCTCATAGACATCAACTTCCTGCAGTGGAAGCCTGCAAACAAGAATAATATTTGCGTAATTTATTTAGAATTAGTCTTCAGGTTCATATCGTATATTAAATACATTTCTCCTTTTCATAATACATGAGGCGATCTCTAACCGGAGCTATTTGTTGCTACGCAACCACGTACAAATCACTCTGTTTAGTATGACACAATCGATCACTTAAATCGACTCAATAATAATCGATATTAACACGGCAGTTTTTTAATGCGTATTTGTTAGGTCCCCAATAATAACTGTATCATGCAGTGCTGTGATGTCATTTTTTAGAATTACAGGTTAATGAGTCAGAATAATTTCTTGTTATTGTTTATGTTGTTTATTAAAGGTAGTGGTAATTTCTTTCTTAACTGCATTCCATACACCTTTTGTTTCTTTACTATATCTCATTGCACGAGCCGGGATAGCTCAGTCAGTATAGTGACTAGCTACGGGCTGGACGACCGGGGTTCGAGCTCTGGGGCCCACCCAGCCTCCTCTACAATGGGTACCGGGGTCCTTTCCCGGGGGTAAAGCCGGCCGGGGCGTGATGCTGACCACTCATCCCAAACGCCTACATGGCGTGTAGTGGGACAAACTTTACTTTACTTTTACTATGTCCCATTGTATCTTTCCTTCTCACGCATTTCTTTATTATCTCCGTTGTTTCTACGTTTTCATCGCCACGTTAAAAATTCTTACAGAAGCTGCCTAATATTAGCAACAATTGTAAAACAGAACATTTTGCCATGAAACATCATTACTGAGGACTTCTGTGTGTCTCTGAGCTTCACTGAACATTATCAAAGCATTAGGCTCGATTTTAGATGATTTATCTTTAGCGATGGCGAAGAACACTTTGTGGGCATGTCCATGTCTGTCTGTCTATTAGAGGCTCCTTTTTTAATCTATTTTTGTCCGAAAAGGGATCCATAATTTTCATTTTTGTGCAACAATTATTTGGCATCACATTAGTATAAGAATGGTTTAAGACAAGAAATACCTTAAATCACATCAGTGCAACAACGGCCTAGGTGATGTATTGTGAAGAACGTCTTTGGAATGTCAGTGTTTTCAAAAGAGAACACCTTTCCAATCCTGTATCTAATACTAATACGTGATGTAAGAAATACTGAATTCTGCCGTTTAGATTAATTTATTTATAGAAAAATCTGGTCGAAGAACGGATACATTGGCGTCTCTTAAATGAATTAATATTCGTCTTTTCCTTTCTAAATTTTAAGGTTAGATTTTGTAAAAGAAAGCCATTTGCAAATAAATAAATAAATGTAGTTATTTCGTGGTATAGAAAGTAGCACATTTTGAAATTAAGGAAGTACTGTAGTGTCATTTTTATTTACGCGTCTGTTTATTTTCCGGTAAATACAGTTGTGCGGATTCGTTTCCCATGAATACTCACGTGAATAAGACTCTCATTATTTCCTCCCAGAGGTTTGCCCCAACTCTCAGTCTCTGAGCTGCTTCGCACAACGCTTTCTTGATGCAAGTACGACCGTCCACCCCCGCTCTGAAAAGAAAGGCCGTTATGAACTATACTCAGTAATACACAAGACGAAACATGATACTGAACATACACGTTCACCAAATTCCGGATTTGTTACCTGTAAACCGCTACGGTCAGCGCATTTGGTTCAGTTATTTTTAGAACGTGGCTGTTTATGAAGAATGTTAGCAAAAATTGCTGTTTTGGATACATAATAGCTTGAAAATATAAATAAAACAAGCTTCCAAAATTCAGGCAGTGAAAACTTCTCAGTTTAATGGTTGTCACTCACAGATTCACAAGAAATAATTTCTAATTTATTGATTGTTCTCATTGTAAATACCAGTTTACACAGAACAGCGTTCTAATATTTTAAATATCAAAATTACTTAAAAATCGTGTACTTAGAAAGAATTGGGCATGTGTAATGAATACAAATCTGGCCACTTCGGAAAATGGCATTCATTGAAGGATGGCATTGGGCACAGGTTATGAGAGTATGTAGTGGATTAGACTAGCTCATAATAGGGTCAGTGTGTGTGTGGCTGCTGTGAATATAAATTCTAAACCAAATGAAATCTCAGCTTTTCAGGAATGACCCAGCTTTTTGTACTGTAGTTATTTGACGTGTTATCTCCAGTAAAAGTGACTTGATACTCACGAGTCCATTGCTGTTTCCAGTCTCCGATACAGTTCCCGTCTTTGACGTCGCAGGATAAGCGGTGGTATAATCCTTTTTGTGTGAGGATTGCGAAGAGTGTGATTAGGCAGATCGAAAGCAACAGCCCAGTTCATTCCAGATGTAAATATATTTCCCCCTGCCACAGTCCTTATTTTATTGCTAAATGCAAGCTGTTGGCAGAAATGTCACATAATTATAAGTTTGTCGCTTTTGACGTTAGGAGTCTATATAAAGAAATTGACGTGATATTCATGGTCTCTGAATTGAGTAACTTCCCAGTGGCTTTGTCTTATTCACTAAATTATTTTCCAATAGCAGATTTAGTTCGTGACATGAACTCAGGAAAGAGTCAGGGCTGTAGTCGACCCAGGGCGACTGAAGCAGGCGCTCCGATGTTCTTTTAAATGTCGGGGCATCGTCCTCGAACTGTGTAGCCTAAGGGCAAGGGTATGTGTGAGTCCCCTATTTAAAATATAATAGACAAAATGCATATCTAAAAGTTACAGAAAATTATATGGTATAATCCTGAGCGTATACAAAACTACTTGTTTTTTAAATATCCTTACTTTTATAAGCTTAAGGGCCCTGTATTATGATCCAGGCTCATTTCTTTCAAGGTTTCTTAGGCACTATTAATTTTAAGACTAAATCCTTGAGAATCCCCAATATATATATATATATATATATATAAAGCATTGTCTTGACGAGAATCAAACTGTTTTATTCGGATTCAGTTCTCTATGTATAGACTTCGAAAATTAAGTTATAACCTACACTGGTCATAGCGTTTTATGGAAGAAATTTTAATTAGTTTTATATTTGTGTAACATGTTAAAAAGTTTTGAGTGTCTCGAGAAAATGAAGATAATTTAATGCTTTAAATTATTTGATTGCATTTAATGTCCCACATGGTGATTTTTTCGTTCCAACAAGTGGGATACTCAGTCTGTAATTTGTGCTGCAAGTCTATAGGAAAAAAAATGTAAGTAAATAATATACAGAGTGAGTCAGAAGTATGTTTAAAAACTTCGTGTGTGCGTTCCAGGATCAAAAATAAGAAAAAATGTTCCTATGATCATGGGGTCGCAAATGTTTCATTTTCTAAATAATAGCCAAAAATAAGTTTCAATGAATTGACTTAATATCAAAGTGAATCCAGCTTCCAGCAAAGACTTTCAATTAACGTTTGGGCAGGAATTGTTGGCGACTAGCTTATTGGTCCACACATGCTGCCATCGCGTCTAAGAGGACCTTCATATCGGCGATTCTTAAGAAGACACTTGCCACGTCTCCTTGAAGATGTACCACTGAATACAAGAAGACAATGTGGTTTATGCACGACAGAGCCCAGCACACTTCTCCCATCGCGTCACATGTCATCTCAATGAACAGCACCCTCAGCGATGGATTGGGCGTGGTGGCCCAGTAGCATGGCCACCGAGGTCACCGGACCTGACTCCATTGGACTTTTATCTGTGGGGTGACTTGAAGTCCGTCGTTTATGCAACACCCACAAACAATGAAGACGACCTTTGGGAACGAGTGCAGAATGCATGCCAGATGATTCGAGGAAACCCTAGTGTGTACGAACGAATTCGTGAGTCTTGTGTACGTCGTGCTCGTGCATGTGTGGAGATTGGAGGAACAACCTTTGAGCATCTGTTATAAAGAAACATCCCCGTCCTTACACTTGGCAATAAATGCATGCCTTGAAACTTATTTTTGGCTATTATTTCGAAAATGAAACATTTGCGATCCCATGTTCATAGGAACATTTTTTCTTCTTTTTGATCCTGGAACACGCACACGAAGTTTGTAAATACACTTCTGACTCACCCTGTATAAAGAAAGATAGGTCTCTGATCAGCACACCAGATATGTATGTAACTTACCGAGAATGTGCTGCCTCGTGGAAAAATAACAAAACGCTTCCGACGGACCACCGTCGTCATATCGTTGTTACCACCGTAAGAAGTTTGGCAGGTTGTGTGGAAAAATATTACCGCGAAGATAATCATAAATAATAGTAGGTAATTATCCATAACAGCACTGTAACAAATGAAAGCACCACATGCTTGAATTTTTGTGAAGTGCAATCGAAACTGTACTGAACTCGGCAAAAAATAAATAAAATGATAAATAACGGCTTTTTTCTTATAGTATGTGGAACATGCAGTAACCACTGCGATTAAAAAAGTTAAAGTTGTTTTTATTCTCAAACGAAAATTCCATACTATGTTAGTGATACGTTTTAAGACATACCAAAGAAAGACTTGATGTCACACGATAGCAGGTGGAATGTCTGTTGGATGCGTGAAGGAAAGATTTGTTTATGGACATGTCGGTTTAAGGTCAAATGGGCGAGGGTCAGGTTGCTATAATATTTTAAATCTCTTCATATTGAACGACTTTCATATGAAAACCAGTAAACATAATTATCTTCTACAATTTTGTCTCTCTGTATAAAGTAAGATAAACTTCTGCAATTAATCTTCAACCTATAAATCAAATTTCAGTGTTCGAAACGCTATGCATGTTAAATAAGCCTCCAGTACAATTTCGAAGTAAAAAACTATATTCAAATATACTGACCTTTGCTGAAAAGAATGGTACATCATTCAGTGAACCATTTTAATACCACTTAATTCGTTCGTTTGTCGCTTATTTCAGCTGTAGCCTATGACACGTTCGACCACAATCTACTTATCGATAAAGGCACAGTTATGGCAACCATACTTTGTTTAATGCTGTATTCTTCTGGTAATACGGGAAACTTCCTTCGTCACATTACTGGTTGGGTTTCGTTTCAAACTCAAGACGTACTGTGGCTGGGTTGTTTTATTTCCCATTCAAAAATGCCGTGACAGTAGACAGTAGAAAGTCAATATTTGAACTCGACTTTAGTAATTACGTTCGAGAGGTACAGTATGATTTTTATACTGTGTAAACAGTGATGTTCTGTTAAGTAAATTTCACGTAACTGTTAACTTGTACTCGGCATTATAACGTGTATTACAGTTTCATAGCAAAGATATTTTCTTTTGCTGAATGCCGTCGTTAAATGTGGATAGTTTGTGTTCTCACATTCGGGAGACTCTTGGTTTCACTATAGGCTTTGACATCCGAAATCCTAACCATGTTATTTTTCAGCCCTTTCAGGAAGATGCTTGAACCGTGCCTCAAAATAAACCGTAGCCCTACATTTTAATATTCACCAAAATTCATCGCTTACAACCGTCCTTAAACGTTTAAAAAAGTATGCAAATGAAGACAGGTTAAGGGAAGGGTTGATATCTTATCATTATAAAAATACAAATCGCTCATGATGGTAAGAAAATTTTCGTCTTTCATAACTAAACATAGTTAAGCAGTGTGCTTAGAAGATATTTAATGTGTTGATATATCTGTACATTAACACAATATAACATTCTGTGTATAATTTAATTATAATGTATAGCATTAAAGGATAATTTATTTCAGTTTCCACACAGAACAGTTATTCATCTGAATGTATCGTCAATATAGACTAATGTTCTTATTGTAAGCCTGCGCACTATTTCCGTTATTTTACACACACACACACACGCGGTGTCCCACAACAGGATATACATAGCTTAACTACGTGCTCTTAGGATCATTGTGAGTCGAAAATTTCAAATAAACATGGGTGTTATCTGCAACGGTTATCCAAGGAAATGAGAACTAACTCCCTGGTAGCAGAACCGGCAGGTTCAACGCCGACAACACTAAAGCCCGCCACCGGCCACGATCCTGAGCCAACTCCATCCATTTGCCACACTCACAGCCCACCTCCCTGAGATCCGTCTTGATGTCATCCTCTCATCTCCTTCTTGGTCTTCTTATTGGTGTTTTCCAGAAGGATTCCCTACCAAAATCCTGTATGCACCCCTTGCCCCCCCCCTCATACGTGCTACATGTCCAGCCCATCGGAGCCTCATAGATTTCACTATCCTCACTATGAGAGGTGACCCGTACAATTCACTCAGCTCCTAGTTATGCAATATTCTGAATTCCCCACTTTTTTCAACCTTTCTAGGTCCAAATATCTTCCTGAGCACTTTGTTTTTAAAAATTTATAATCTACGTTTTTCCTTCAAGGTAAGAGACCATGTTTCACAACCATACAAGACAACCGGCAAAATTATTGTTGTATATATCTTGATATTTAGTGTTTTGGTTAGCAAACAAGATGATAACAGTTTTTAAATTTAATAAAAACAAGTGTTCCTCGAATGTATTTTACTCTTAATTTCATCAGACTTGAAGATTTTTCACTCATTACACCCATTTCATAGAACAGACCACGTAATAAAATGGTTTCTTCATCATATAGAGAGACTCAGTCTCCGCATACCGCATTTACTCACGTTTCTTGTAAAAAGAAATAAAAATCTAAATCGAGATCGACTTAAAATCCTTTTCCCCCAAATGTTATATCGTTTATGACTTTGAAGTCTCGCCTGCGTATGTATTAGCAGTTGCTTTTACACGGAAGCTAACCGAGCAAACAAGCAAGAAAATAAAGATGAGGTTGCAGAAATTAACAGTTCACAGACCTTTCGAATGAATTTGCACACAGAGTTAAAAAAAAATGTGCATTAAACAGTGAGCCCAAATAGATGGACAGTAACCCCGTTACTTGATCTGTAGTGTATACAAAAGAAGGTGTACGACCAGCTCTGTTTATTTGAACAACGTTTCGTGTTGTCCCGCACTTTCGCTAAACTAGTGCTCATCAACTACTGCAGGTATTTATCATTGTTTGGTCTCAATTCTTAGTGTAAGAGCAGACTATGAGTCAGATTATTTTACAATATATGGATCGAACAGAACACGTGTCTTCCAGCCTCTTCTTACCTAAATACGGAGGAAAATACGTCTTCGAAAAGAGATTAAGACTTTCAGAAACGCTTTCAGAAGACGGTGGATAAAGTTAAAGTATTAATATCAAACCGTCGCCAGAGACATTTAGAGAAGAACTTCTCTCATTGTGCATCTTGAATTTTTTTGTGTTTTCAAACAAGTCGAATCCAACCAGATGTTAAACGGTGTGTTGTCTCTCAATAACTTGTATTTGTAAAGGAACGCAACTCAAATAAGTATTTAAATATTAATCGGGTCTGTTTTAAGCGGGTATGATGGAATTTATTTCAGTATCGCAAAATAAATTGTTACCCTATTTGTATGGTAACACTAGTCAACACATAAAATGTTATGAAAACGAAACTAACCGATCTTGACTAATTTTAGGCTCATGAACACGAAAATCACATTAAAATTTGTCGACTGGCTCCTGATTTCGAATTATGGTTGGGGTCTCATATTAGAGAGTTATTCTACATTATTATCAGTTATAGTACCACCACGCTCTTATCACGTCACCCCTCTCTGCATTACGTGATAAGTTGTTCCCGCCGCAAACGCGTCTTCAACTTTTGTAGTACTCTCAGAGTCCGGTCAGGTAATGGGTGATTTGTTCTCAGTTAACGGTTCTCTGTGAGATTCCTACTTCTTGCGCAGTGTTTGTGTCGTGTAAGATTAATATGCCCCGTAATTGTGTGAATAGTCCGGATAACTTCTGTTACGTATGTGGAGAAGTCACATTTGCTTCGAGAAAGTGTACGTTAACTCAAGCCATAAAAAGGCTTACGAATTGTACTTTGGGTGTAAAGTAGGCGATCAGGACAAGAACTGGGCTCCACACATGCTGCACTACCTGTTCATCCAACTCAACGCGTGGGTGAACCATAAGGGACGTTGTGTGCCTTTCGCAGTGCCCATGTAATGGAGGGAGTTACTTCTGTATGGTGCCTCCTATTCGAAAAGGGACGACAATGATTATAAAGTGGTCAGTGACTTACCCAAATATACCATCTGCAATTCCCCCCGTCGCTCACGGTGAACCACTAGAAAGGTTTTCTGTAGAGTCTGATGAAGATGAAGACACTGATGATGTTCATGTTGAGCTTGATACACACGAAGAAGTACAGCAGCCGTCTACGTCAAGAGATCCACCATTTTGTACAACCCTCTATCCTTCTGAACCACAAAAGATCATAGAAAGTGAGCTTAATGACCTCATCAAGGATCTCGAACTGCCGAAGCTTTTGGCCTCGAGGCTACAACAGTGGAGTCTTCTAGATCAATCTGTGAAAGTGACAACATTTCGTACTCGAAATAAAAACTGTGATAAATTCTATCAAACAGAAGGTGAACTCACTGTTTGTAAGGATGTTGCTGGTCTAATGGCAGCAATGAACATGAGGTACGTTCCCGAAGAATGGCGATTATTTATAGACGCTTTTAAGGTGAGCCTTAAGGCTGTCTTATTACACAATGGAAATATTCTGCCTTCAATACATATTGCGTATACCGTCCACAAACAAGAAACATATGCAAAGATGGAGAACATCCTCTTAGGTGTACACTGCCAGAAGTATGAGTGGCAGATATGTGGTGATTTAAAGTTAATCGCCATTTTGATGGGACTACAAAACGGCTACACCAAGTATTGTTGTTTTCTCTGCGAGTGGGATAGCCGTGCCCAGGATATGCACTACAAGAAGAGGAGTTGGCCTCAACGAGAAATCATTACTTATTTGTAGTTTAATAATATCTTAAATTACGATTATCCGACCGTTCTTCAGTCCCGTTTATTTCGGATAATCGGAAATCTAGTTTACTGGGGAATTAATGATATGTTATGCAACGAATTTAATTTTGTATCGTATCTGTCCAATGAAGCTCCGATTTTACGTGAAGTTCTAATCGTTTTTTATATGCATTGTTATTAATAATAAATTGGTTCTCAACATCATAAAAAGATAAGGATCTACAATTGTTATTTTAAACATTATTCTGTGAGAGGAATACTAAACGAAATAGTGATGAATAATGCATGATTAAGCAGTGTGATTAGTTTCGCAACAATAACTTTGTAGGCTTGTCTCCAATAAATGGACATCGAAACCAATTATGTATCCGTGCAGGGCCTTAAAAGTCTTAAAGGAGGCTTGAAGAACATGCTCACTTCACGTTTGTTTTCACGTGAAACTGTTCTTGAGTCTCCCTATTCTGAAGACAGGTGAGAGGCTGTCAGTGTATAAAATAAAACTTTGTTCAATGCTGTTAGTTCCTTACACATTTAAAACACTCCCCTAAACAGCGTTAACTGTAAAACAGATTCCTTGTAGTTTTTATGCTATAGGCCAGTGGTATTTAACCTGGGGTACGCGTACCCCCGGGGGTACGCGGAGACATCATATGGGGTACGTGAAATTTAAAAAATATGTTATTTTATTATAAAAACTTGATAATCAGTAATGTAATTTATTTAATTTATTTTAAATGTAGATTATATACTATGTATAACTTGAATTATACACCAACTAGATGATACGCATTTCCATATATGGGTACCACCGTATAGTCGTTGACTAATACTGGTATTTACACGTAGAAATGGAAGGACATAGTTTAATAATCTTGTTTATCGTATGAAGTTATGTCACTAGAGAGCAAAATGAACAAATAGCTGCCGGCCACTAACTAGTGTTCATTAACACAAATTACACTGCGTGCAAGAACAAAAAGACTTTTATCATTGTGCCGGGGTTTTGTCGGAAGCTCGCTATAAAAACGCGACAAATTCAAAGAAGGCAGCTGTTTTCATATGTATGCTGTGCGTCTGCCATGCTTTTAAAGAGAAAGATCCATCTAGTCTCGATGCCTGAAGTGATAAAATTGTCCTTGAATTTTATTTCCGTCAGACGACGTGTCAACTCGACGTTCTCCAAGAGAATCGCGTTCCCCTGGAGCAGGGACTGACCCTTTGGGGGGAGTAGAGCCAGTCTGTTTGGAAGGGAGTGTTACGGAGTCCGCCGCCAGCACTTCAGGACAAGCGAAGTTAATCTTGCAGCCCGTGGGGGCAGCTTGCCGCTCGGTCCGTCTTCCTGTGCCGGACACGGTGGGGGTGTGTTTCTCCGCGGCTTGAGCCTTTACGACGCGGCCACCTCGAACAACGTGGTTCCAGCCAGGGCCCAAGTTCTCCTGCTCGGGAGAAGGCTTAGCTGTCTCCGATCTGGGCGCTGGCAGGCGCGTGGAGACGCCGTCTTTCGGCCGCTCTCTCTGCCGCCTTTGCCCCCTTCCACTTACTGCAACCTGGTAGTTGGCAGTATGACCTCTGAAACGTTGGTAAACATCGACCAGACTACACAGCGCAACAACCCAGAAGACAGAAATCTTCATACTAATCGCCCTGATGATGGAGGCAGTATGACCTCCGAAACGTTGGTTAACATCTACCAGACTACACAGCGCAACAACCCCGAAGACAGAAATCTTCATACTCATCGCCCTGATGACGGAGGCAGTATGACCTCTGAAACGTTGGTAAACATCGACCAAACTACACAGCACAACAACCCAGAAGACAGAAATCTTCATGCTCATCACCCTGATGATGGAGGCAGTATGACCTCTGAAAGGTTGGTAAACATCGACCAAACTACACAGCACAACAACCCAGAAGACAGAAATCTTCATGCTCATCACCCTGATGATGGAGGCAGTATGACCTCCGAAACGTTGGTTAACATCGAACAAACTACACAGCACAACAACCCAGAAGACAGAAATCTTCATGCTCATCACCCTGATGATGGAGGCAGTATGACCTCTGAAAGGTTGGTAAACATCGACCAAACTACACAGCGCAACAACCCAGAAGACAGAAATCTTCATACTCACCGCTGTGAAAACCTCAAATCCTTCATGATTCTAACTACATACGGAAGAGCCCTTCTTTATACTCTAATATTCAGTCCGCTGGTAAAGAAACCAAAAGTTAATTATCTTTTTTACAAGAGCTCTGAAGCCCGCTGTAACATTTCATAACATACTGGCTTTTACTGTGAAGGGTTGTAAACCAACGCCGAAAGTTCCGAGCTGCCCTCGACTACTTATTCAATATATTCGCAGCTACTCCCCATATTTGGAGGCCGTCTCCTCGATCTTCAACCTGATGTCGCTCCGTTTAAAGTTGTCTCTGGTGCTTAGTAAGTACGATGCCATGGAGACGTCTCGTCATGTCAGTAGAATATGGAGATGAGTGGTCACCGTCTCGTCCCATACTCTTTACCACTGAGTAAAGACTGTTCATTACCCACTGGATAGAAAATGGGACAGTCCTAGAGGTGGTCTAGACGCAGTAGTTAAGAACAAATATCTCATACACCTTCCGGGGATCGGCCCCAATGAAGCTCGTAACGTAGTAATTTTTCTGAGAGAACGCGCCGTGCCGCGATGCCAGATAACTCACTTAGTTTAATCCTTCGGCACGCTGAAATACACCATACCAACTCCGAGAGCCTATAGCCTATATTAGTTCTTCGACGAAAATTTGAGGGAGCTAATAGCTCTTGGGACAGTGAGGTTTTCGAAACGTCTACCTACCAATAACAGGACAAGATTCTCTTCATACGTCTTTATGTGAACTCTGAATACGTTTTGCTTCTGATGAACTGAGAGCAGACGCTGACTTTCGGCCGTCTTGTATGGCCGCCGCGTTCACCTTGACAACAGACAGCCTCTTGTCCTATTCACCTCACGTACCACACAAATACCGCTAGCAACTTGGAATCCATGTTGTCGTCACATAACTTGTTCTTCCATTACACACAAAGGCCGCCTTTGCTTGGACTTGAGTATGAATGAATGTAGGTTTAAATCCATCTTCTATTGTCTTATTAGCCTTCTAGCAGGACAGTCCGTTGGATTTAAATGTCGTATTCTCGGGCATTCGTCTCTTGTCCTATAGCAGGAAGGCTTTGTTATTAGCGATGTTCAGCTTTCGGGTTCTGCTACCACA